CTATATTGAAAAAGTTTCAGATGAATTAATTCAGTCATTCTTTTTTATCCCACTTTAACATGGATTTCTATGGAGTCCGGAAGACGAGAGCATCCAAACGGAAGTTAGAATCCATCATGGCGGTGCTCATCGGTGACTCAGGAAAAAGGTGGACAGAAAAACAATATTGTAATTATTTTATTTTACAGTACAACAGTAAAATTACAATACTAATATCTGTGGTTGTCTTAATTTCTTCATTGTCAAATGTTAAACTATCAATGTTTTATTTTAGTGAATACTTTTTATCATTTTGAAACTTGACAGTCTGTAGTCCCCGCCCACTTTCATTGTAATTGAATGAGGAACATGAACAATCTTCTAAACTTCTCCTTTTGTGGTTCACAGAAAAACAGTAAGTCATAATGGTTTGGAACATTATGAGGTGAATAAATGATTCATTTTAATTTTTATCTGCAGAAATATGTCTTTTCTAAACCCGTAAAAACACACACCTCCTATTCCATTTAATTCCTGTATGATATTATATATTCATGTGGTGCTATTAAAAAGAAAAGTGAAGAAATAAAATGACAGAAATGGGGAAGGCTAGTTGTAAAGTGCATAAGATGGACATATTTGGCACGAGGGGCATAAGACAAAATGACAGTTGCAGTAAAAGACATGCAGTGCAAAAGACGTGGAGAGGGGCTGCTGCTGTTAGCTGCTGTAATCAGACAGGTGATGGCGAGCAGGTTAAGAGGTGTGTGGAGGTGATGGGGTCTCGGTGTGAGAGGGTAATTGGTATTCAGACCTGATCAGATGTGTGTGATATCAAGTGAATGTGAACTCCCACCATTGCAAGCGACTGCACCAGGCTTCTTCAACCCACTAATTACTGCATAAATATTCCAATTAGATGACAGGTACTGATGAAGGAGGATTATGCTCCTGATGAGAGAATGTGTATGTAAAAGAGACAGATGGGAATGCAGAGAGGCAAATGTTAGGATGGGTATATGTGTGTGCAGACAGCTGCCCATTTCCCATGTGGCCCCCGTTGGGTAAAACACTGAAAGTTCAGGAGGAGTATATTCATATAAGCCCACCAATCTAAACACTAAGTGGATAAACAGCAATGCCTCAGTTCAATTAACTAAATTTTCAAGTACTGTTTTCCATATTCTTTTGAAAATGTTTTTTTCCCTACCATGTCACCAATGTGGAGCTTGAGTTTCTCATGAAATGCCTGTAAAAACCACCACATCACCTCTTCAAAAATGGGCAAAAAAAAACAAAAACATGAGGGACATTTTTTATATTACCATTCAAAAGTTAAATTTTGTTTCTGAAAGAAGTCTCTTATGATCACCAAGGCTGCTTTTATCAAAACTACAGTAAAATATTCTGGAATACTGTTACAGCTTAATAACTCTTTTCTATTTTGATTTAATAATAATAAAAAAAAGTATTTTATTCCTGTGATGGCAAAGCTGAATTTTCAGTCTTGAGTCTCACTTGATCCTTCAAAAATCACTCTAATATGCTGAGTGGTTCTCAATAAATATTTCTAATTATTATCAATGTTGTGTATCAAACAGTTGTGTGATTTTTTGTAGCATTAAATGTCTTTACTGTCATTTTACTGAATACTAACTGTCGTCATCATTTACTCCCTCTCTACTGTCACTTACCCAAACCTATGTTGTTCCAAGCATGTATTATTTTCTATCTCCTTTTAAAGAAAAATGAAAGGAGATACTTCTGCTTTTTTTTTTTTTGGAGCTTGTTAGTATAAATCACCATCCACTATCACTGTATGGAAAACAAGCTTGGACACTCTGTCCATCATCTCCTTTTGTGTGTCATGGAAGACAGAAAGTCATATGGGTTTGGAACGGCATGAGGGTGTGTAAATAATGACAGCATTTTCATTTTTGGGTGAACTATTCCTTTCAGTCTCGTCCAACAACATCTTGCCTGACAGAGAATGTGATGTTGAAAATCTTCCAAATGTTCCATTTGCGATGTGGCTTTGTAAACACATAAGTGTGTCCCAGTTCTAATTGGAGTGCACAGGTGGAAGAGAGCGCAATCACTGCGTTAGATTAATGAGGGTCGCTCTCTGGTCCTGAGAAGAGGACAGATTACCTGCCTGCAGTAGGTACCACGTCCCACATTCATGCTCCTGTAGACATCTCAGCCAGTCTGTCTTAGTCATTGGATTAGCAGGAGTCACTGCTCCAGGTACAGACTTATGATAACTTGTCAGAGAGAAAATAGAAAATCTTGAGATGACAGCAAACGTCATCTAACATGGCATGAAGGGTAGAGAACTTTATGTGCCAAGTGAAACAAGATGCCAAAGGAATAATGATGAAGACTGTAATAGAACCGTAGTGCCAAAACCTCCCTAAGCAACTGAAAAATCACTGCAATGACTGCAAAGTAGCTTATTTTAATAAAAAGGCCACCAAAAGTGATTTGATACAAGCCATTAACCTTTAATACGTAATTTACTAACAATAATTTGTTAGAACAACAACTGATTTAATGGTTTGAAATTATTATTATTATTGTAAAATAAAAGTATTATTTATATAGTTCTGGTACTAAAGTGCAACTTATAATAGCTACACTTATGATGATTACAATAATAATAATAACAATAATAAATGTATTAACTTCCTACAGTAACTAATAGTTCTGGCACTAAAGTGTAACTGATGATGATGAAGATAATAATAATAATCATCATCATCATCAATTATACTTGAGCAGTAGCACTATTTGTCATACAATTAATACTTCTGAACACATTGAGTGGTCTCCAGATACTACAACTAGAAATGTTTCAATATTTTAATATGATGCTAATGAGAATGGGACTAGAATCTGTGGCAAGAAAGCAAGGGATCACGTAGGATGGCGAGATAAAGGGGAAGTTGAAAGACTTCCCCGCAGGTCCGCTTAAGCATTCTGGGATAAATTGAATGGACCTCTGAATGACCCTGCTCATTAGTGGAGCAGAGGGACGTTAAGAAGGAGCACACAACTGTGTGTGTCCTTGTGTTTGTGTGTGTGTGTGTGTGTGTGTGTGTGTGTGTGTGTATGTGTATGTGTGTGCGTAAGAAAGAGGGATCGCTAGAGCGATAGAGAGGGGGATTAATGAAGAGGTTAAACAGGGGAACACGTCTGGTGGGAAGGGTCAGGCTCTGAGACTCAGATGAGATATGGGAAAGCTGTTCCCATGACCCATAGAGTTCATTTGTGTGGGTATGTGAGTACATGCATGTATTGAAAATGAAGTCAACTGCATTCTGAAGTAGACACTAAGAAGACCCCAATGATTAGCTGAATTAATTCTAGGTGGGGCTGGAAATAATAAGTATAACAAGACTTGAGAGCATGTACATATCGCTGTTGTGCAACAGAGGACAAGCTAGAAAATCCTAGAAATGAGGCTGAAACCCAATTTGCATACCTTTACCGAGCATGAGAAATAAACACTATCCTGGGAATCAAGCACATACTTCATTTCAGTATGAAATGAAATCAGGGTGCCGAGATAAATTTTGAGGATCGTAAAAGTTTCTGTCTTTGTGTGCATGTGTGTGTTCATGTTGTAGCATTGTCTTCCAAACCTGTTTGAGGAACTCTTTTTATTTAAACAATGAAAGTCAGTGGGGTCCAAAACATAATATTAGACCAGTGCTTCTCAACCTTTTTTACTGTTTTCCTACACAATAATCAAAGATATGCCAAGATATTTCCAACATTTCCACCGTAATGTGACCAAGCTGCTTGTTTTCAAACATTTTTACTGATATGCTTAATTAACTAATGTGGTTAATTAATCTAATATATAAAATAAATTAAGCACAATTCTTTTTGTGATTCAGAAGTTATTCAGAACTGTGTTATTCACTAAAAACAATAGTTACTGAGGCAACATAAAAAGAAATACCATTTTCATTAATATCTTGATTTTTTTAGCTTATTTTCAGCATTTTATTTAGATTAAATGTAAATTATTTAAATACATTAATAATAATTCATTATTTTAAATACTTTTAAGTCAGGCCCCCTGGTTGAGAACCACTGCATTAGACCCCACGTACATTACTGTAGACCAGTGTTTCCTAACCTTTTTTTAGTCGTGGCACCCTTTGGAAATTTTAACAAACTTGTGGCACCCAACAAAATTTATTTTGTCACAATATTTGAATTTCTAACTTCGATACAATAATTTGAAAATATATAGATATTCGGTACAACAGGGAATAACTGCAGAATATAATGTCATACAGATATTTTTAATATTATTAAAACATTTTGTCCATCAATGGTGGCAATCAGTAGGCTCATTTCTAATGAAGAGACCAATTTATATGACAGATTTTAGTGTAGGCTTTTATACATATGTAAACATTATTTAATTACCATTATAACTAGCTATCTCACACATTTTTGCTCACTCAGTGTTTTTTTAAATTTTACAGTAGGGTAATTTTGGTGCAGTAGCACGAGATAGCTTGATTTCAAACTTTGAATTGAATTAAAATGACAAGTAAGCAGTCAGTAATAAAATAAGAACAAATAAATAAATTAATAATGATAGCACAAATAAAAAAATAACGACAGGCCTTCGAATTAAATAAATTGCTTTTTCATCATTGATCATTAAGTTAATTCTTAAAGCGCTGTTTGTTACAGTGCAAGAATGTCTCTTCACAATGTTGTTCACAGGAAACTAGGGACCATCCACACCAAGTATGCTCAGACACACCATAGCTGGGAACTAATTATTTTCTAACGCAGGGAGACAGAAAGTGAAGCCGAGACAAACACTTTACATGGAATGGCAAGGTTTGTGTATACACACACACACACTCGTATACTCAAACCCATGAGAACTCCAAACGCATTTCACACTGATCAACAGTTCTTTGAAAGAAAAATCAAACGGAAGCAGCTTCTTGGAAGCATGCTTGCTTTTACATGTACGAGACCTGACTGACCTCTCTGTCGATGCCTGAAGCGATGGTGCTGATCTCTCCTGTGGCTCCGTTAATAGTAAACATGTTAGGAATGGGGATGTGCGGCGTCTGGCTCAGGATGCGATAGTGCACTAGCCCGTTTGCCGTGATGCTGTCATCTGCGTCAAAGGCTGTTACCTGCATTACAGAAGTGCCTGGAGAGGAAGAGGGATAAACAAGCGTGAATCAAAACACTAATGCATGCATAATCACGCCGTTTCTGTCACAAAGCAGCTGTGCTTGTTTGTCCGAGTCGCTAAGAACAAACATGCACAAACGGTGGCTATTTGATCAGTGATTCTATCTTTTTGTGCTGCTCCCTGTGTCAGAGCAATGTTCAAACGTCACATCTGATCCCAGGGTCTTTCTCACCTAAGCTGTCTCACCTTCTTCATTTCTGATTCTGCTATCCATACAAAATCTGATCGGTAATGAGGGTTTGTCTGCCTCTCTTGCCTCTGTCACTTTCATTATCCCTCAGTCCTACTATAGCTGTGTGGGCAGTGTTAAACTAAAAATTGAATTACTTATAGAAATGTTTATTAAAGTTTGTCTTTTTTTTTTTTGGTTATTATGTGAAGGATTTTTTGAGATAAAAACTGTAATTGTAACATAATTGTATAATATATATTCAATATGTAATTAAATATTAACTGTATTATGAGTTCAATTAAATATTTATTTATATAACATTAAATATTCAAAAATATTTCTATTATATATACTGTATATTATTATTTATTATATATATATAATAAATATGCTGGGTTTTGAGGCTGGGTGTGTATGAGTGTGAAATGTGTTTGTGTGAGAGCCAGGCATCAGGTGCCATATGATGCGGGTGGGGGTCCATATAGCCTTTAGTCCCCAAAACATGTTTATCGATTTCTGAGAGCTTGTCTCACACCATCTCAAATGTGAGTGAGCAATTAGGGGCCTCCAAATAGAGAAACGGAGGATAAACCTCCTTGCGACGTGGGTAAAATGTCACCCTGTCATTCTGTGTTAATGCCATTCTGTCGCACCTGTGTTCCAGTCATTTCTGATATTTAATATTAATGGCCATGGCGACCCAGAAAGCTGGTCCGAGGGGGGTGACCACGCGTTTAGCCACACGCGAGACCTCACGCATTTGCGGGTTTCTCCAGCCCTGCTGTAATTGTGAGGAGATAGTGCCCTCATTTTGTGACAACACACCTATAATTGTGAGGGGATAATTGTGGCTGAGAGTTCTATTTCAAAGTTCATTAAGTTTCAGAGCAGAATCTGTCACTATGCCCCATGAGAAAGAGGAAAAGGAAGAAATGAGCGAAGGGAGAAGAAAAACAATTAAGCCCTCTTCTGATAGGGCTACATCAATTTTTGAACAACCAGAGAGCGAGCAAGCACATGTGGAGGGATGAAGAAGACAAAAGAGTTGCATGTCAACTCTGTCGCCTTCAATTTTCATTGAGTGCCATTCTTTAACGGGATTAAATGCTCTTTATTTGTAAAAGTGAGAGAGATGACCGTGCAGGAAACAGTTAACCCCTGGGCCTTTTCAATTGCTTTTTAATTTGAAAACTAATTCAATGCTGTAATTGCTTTTCGACTTAAACCACTGAAGCTCAAAATTCCTCCTTTCAGTAGACGCGTGCTGGTCGGGAGGCTCTCTCTTTCACAGGTATATAAGAAATTGGGGAGTCATTAGTTTTAACAAGTTTAACATAACCAGCCTGAGAATGGAAACCGACCCTTGCAGCGCCGGCTCAGTTGAAAGCGACATATCCTTTCAAATCACCCACCAATTTAAGGCTGTCCAATGCGAAGTACTCTTTTCGGACACGAACATGCAAAACCCATCTCATTGCCACTTTGTCCCAATTTTCAATTGCTTGTGGTACGGCTAGATCACAACGTGCTTACACTGAAAATATGACATAAAAGCTCTCTATACTTGACTGTCCATTCGAGACAAGCTGCTAGCCAGACTAAACCAGTCCTCCAAGCTGTTATCACTCCGTTTTCCACCACAGATTACTCTCAGCACTGTCTCACACCACCCTCATGGTGAGGCTTTCAAAGCAAATCTGTTTTGTCAGGGCTGTAGCCATATGGAGTCCTTTGAGGACTATGAAGAGGCAAATGACTTTTCCTGCAAAAAAAGAGCCAGAGGCAGACGTCTACTTTAAGTCCATTAAACTGATTGAAACATTCCTCTCCGCGCTCTCTTTTCCCTCTCTTCTCACCTGTGCATGGACGTCAGGGCCGAATTAACCCCCATGGCCAGCTGTCTGAGGCTGAGCATTGATTAGCATCCTATCGTCCACTGTTAGCAAATTTCCTTATCAGCCGTGTGAGCTGGAAGTGTGTAAACAGAATTTTCTAGCCATGCCGCTCTTTTGCTGTGGCTTGTTTTTCTTTGCAACAGACAGTGAAAATATCCCCTTGTCATTGGTTATTTAGGCAAAAGAACAGAAAGTCAAGTAAACAAGGATACATCTGACTAAAATATGAGGCAGGATCAGTGTTGATTTTTGAGGCCAGTAAAATGCAAAACAACAGAGAATAGTTTGAAGATGTCAGGAAAAGAGAGAGAGCAAGAGAGAGAGAGAGAAAGATCATTTTAAAAGATAATTGGCTACAGCAGTTCCGTGAGCTTGGAAATATGAGTTTTCTAAACACTGTCATTGGGTGGTGCAGCTGACTTTTTGGCACACAAATTTTCTACAGGGTATTGAGGAAAAAAAGTGAAAATTAGGAATAATTATTGTGAAAAGTACAAGAACACTTTGAGAATGTGAGAACTGTGACGCTGCCTTAACTGCTTCATAGGTTGTTACTAAAACTGGATAATTCACAAAAAACTATTTATAAGGACTACTTTATTTATTTTAGTTAGAATTGTTAACATTCTGTTTCTCCTCAAAGAATACTAAATACTGATTATATAATGTCATTAATGTTATGTACTGGTGTTGTAATATTATCTCACACATTCCATACAGAGTGTCTGTATTGTGTCGCAACAAATGTTACTATCATAATGTGATGTATTTCTGAGCAAATTATTTAATGGAGACAAAATGTAGGGCATATTTGTCACATACATATTTTTTTTGATCCCCCACAGGGATTTGGCACTTTCACACCTCAGCCTGTTGGGCCTTCGGGTCAACTGGGAAAAGAGCAAACTCTCCCCGACGCAGAGGATCTCTTTTCTCGGTATGGAGTTGGACTCGGTCGAACAGACAGCACGCCTCACGCAGGAACGTGCTCAGTCGGTGTTGAACTGCTTGAATACATTCAAGAGCAGGTTGGCGGTCCCACTGAAACAGTTTCAGAGGCTCCTGGGGCATATTGCAGCTACAGCGGCAGTCACACCGCTAGGGCTGCTCCATATGAAACCGCTGCAGCACTGGCTCCATGGCTGAGTCCCGAGGTGGGTGTGGCAACGCTGCACTATCCGGGTCCAAGTTACACCGGCCTGCCGCCAAACCTTCACCCCGTTGTCAGACCTTGCGTTCCTCCGGGCAGGAGTGCCCCTGGAGCAGGTCGCCAGGCATGCTGGGTTGCACAGATGCCTCAACCACCGGCTGGGGGGCCACGTACAACGGGCTTGCAGTGTCAGGGGTTTGGACGGGGCCCCAACTGCACTGGCACATCAACTACCTCGAGTTGCTGGCAGTGCACCTTGCCCTGAGCCGTCTCAAAGGGC